AAGTAATGACAAGCCTTCACTGGAAACTCAAGTAGGCTTGGAGATCTTCTACTTGTCCTTGCACTTAGCCCACCGAGTCCAGGTTCTGGATAGTAGTAATTGCTAGAGAAGTCCAGACCCACCGAGTTTGGATCTAACTGTTCTTCCAAACTCAAGAACTGAGCTTGATTGTGAAGGCGAAATTCATCAGAGATGGAATCTGAATAAGCCGGAGGGATGAAATCCATGCCACTTATGGCTTGCTGGTCCGTTGTGACTTGGGGGTCCCAGTAGGGAGCTGGGACCCGGAAGGTGGCCAGAGACGAAAAAGGGCGCAATGAAGCTGGCGAGAAAGGGGTGAACTGCAAGGGTAAATCTGTAACAGGGGCCGCATTCATGGAAGAGGGCGAAACTGGAGCAGAGTAAACTGGCTTAGAGGACAATCCGAGCTCGGCTTTAGCCTTGTTGATCAAGGCCTGGATCAGATTATCAAGACCAAAAGCCAACCGGATCATCTCCCGGTCGCCGTGGTCCTGCAGTAGAAGATAGCCAAAAATCTTGGACACATTATCGGGCTCTAATTTCTGAAGTTTATTGAAGACAACTCGTGTAGACTCTGAAAAATCCATTTCAAACCTATTTTCTGCAACCAAATACAAAACAAACAAGAGATTCACCCAAAAAGAAATTGAAAAAGCACCACCTCCAACACAGACACTGCAACTCTCTATAAGATAAAAGAGAAACAATGCAGCAATACAAGATAAACAACCTACGAGCAGGGACTCTGAAATGAAAACTTCAACAAGGAAAAGAATAGGGTGTCTATGGCGCCGGCAGCAGCAAAGGTACGAGCGGCGAAAGAGTCGTTGAAAACCAGTGTGGTTCCAGTCTACGAACAGGGTGTCTACGGCGCCATTTAGACCAGGCAGCACGGTGGTGGAGGCTGAGCAGAGTGAGAGCCATCTCGGAGCTGCGGCGACACACCGCTTCCTGTAAGGGGTTCAATCCAGAGGCATTCTGAAGGGAGACATCGGCGCCGGAAGCAGCAAAGGTATGGACGGCGAGGTGGAGAGGGGTTTCACGATGAGGAACGTCACCGCGGTCGAGGATGGAAGAGATCTGGTCGGCTACTCTTTCCTAGGCAAGCGAATCCGACTCTGTGTGAATTTGGGAGGAATCGGCCAGTGATGGAAGGGAAGAGAGGAGTCGGGAGAGGGTGGTATGATCTCTAAGTGCAACGGCATAGTGGACGGAACTGTGCTTGTAGTCTTGTAGTCTTCTCTTCCAATTGCCGACGACATTGACGACTTCGCCATTTGGGAGACACAGGGATTGCAGAAGGGTGTTAGCGGTAGATTTTGTCTTGAATGTGTGTGCCTAAGGCTAATTTTGACATTTTCACTGACGGTAGTCACTGATTGTCGTCCCATTTTAAAGTTCGGGTATTGGCACTCGACCTAAAATAGAGGGTACCTATTGGAAAATTTCCCAAATTATAATTATAATAAAAATTAAAATTAAAATCATAAAAACTTTAATAGAGTGGTAATTATTTAAAAACATATTTATTATTTAAAATTATAGTTATTATTTAAATAAATAAATAATTTTTAAAAAATAATAAAAATCATAATTAAATTTATGAAAAAACTAAAATAGTGATATAAAATTATAAAAACATAATTATAACAATGGAAAAATTTAACATAAAAACATACTTACCATTTATATAAATATACTAACTAAAATAAAAAATTTATAATTATAATAAAAAAATTAAATTAAATTAAAATCATAAAAACTAAAATAGAGTGGTAATCATTTAAAAACATATTTATTATTTAAAAATTGTAGTTGTTAATGTGTTTTATAATAAATTTTTATTAAATTGAAACTATAAACATTGTTTGGTAAAATTTGTAATTTTATTATATGACATATGCATGGTTTAGAGTTACTATTAATTGTTGGTTATAATGTTTTTCTTTTTTAACTTATTAAAATATGCATTTTCCATATATTTATACCTTATGTATATATAATTCAGCTTTAAACTTGATATTATCAATGTATTTATATGATTTTTATGCATTTTTAAAGTGTATCCAAGCATTTCCATTCAAGTCATGCGTATCCATGAGTATCCATAGTGTACCCGTATTCGTATCCATATCCATATCCAAGCTGTCCAATACGATACACGATACCGATACTTTAATCCTTATTCCTCGTTAATTATGCTATTAACTCTCTCTTTCAATAGTTCATGCTACTAATTCTCTCTCATCTCCATTATTCTTTTAAATTGCATAAAATATATTAACCTTATTTATATATATTTATTAGTAAGGATTAATTATATTGAAATTGTGGTATTCAATGATTTATTATTATGCTAAATAATTTACTTCCATTCAAAATTATAATCCATTTATATTCCATTTGAAAATAACAAAAATTAATTAACCATAATAAAAATAATTTAGTAAGTTACTTATAGGGCTGTTCATAAGAATGCCCAACCCGACCAAACCGACCAACCCAGACCGACCCAACCCGAATCGGCTAGGTTTTCATCAGTACCGGTCAGTTTCGGGTTGGGAAAATATATAAACCGACCCAACCCGATTCGGTAGTTCCTAGTTTGAGTAGTTTCCTACTTAACTATAATTAGTCTTCTACTAGAACTAGAAGGTCCATTAGGCAATTACAATTAGAATAGGCAATTTATCCTAGTTTCTAACTTTCTATAATCTTTTACACCAAATAGGCAACCCATTAGGCAATTACAATTAGAATTCAATTAGGTGTCCTTTTGAACAGGAGCAAAACCGAAACCGACCCAACCCAACTCAAATCGACCAGGTCAGTTTGGCCTATCAGTGGGTAGGTTTCGATTTCCACCTCAGGTAACCCGACCAGGTCGGGTCGGTTGGGAAAACCCCAATAAACCGACCCAACCCAACCCGTGAACACCCCTAGTTACTTAAATAAAATAAAAATAATTATTGATTATTGTTATTGATAAAAATATTTTTATTAATATAATAAAAAGAATTTAATTAATAAAAAAGTATAAGATAAATAAAAAAACTAATATCAATTTAAAATTAATATAAAACTAATATAAAATTATCAAACAATTATTAGTTTTATAATTAAATTTTATTAATTTAAAACCAACTTAATTTCTACAGAAAAATAAAAATTTATATAAATTTTATAAGGATTTAAATTTAATAAAACTTAATATACTTAAATAAATTTAATTTTACTAATTTTAAAAATTAATAAAATATATTAATTTTAAATATAGTTCAATTATTTTAATATCAATTTAAATTCCATTTAAAAATAAGAAAAATTATAAAAACCTCATTGGGTTTTTTAACAATCCTATGAAACTTCCCAGTGTTTTGACCTTAAGAAAGCCTTTTTGTATTGTTTTGAAAAATTATGCAAATACCTTCCTTTTATTAGTACTCCAATTAAAAAAAGTCAATGTAATGCATTAATTTTACTTCAGTTCAGCCTTTTTACCTTATTTTGTCCAACAAGTGTAAGGGGAATTATTTTGTAGGGGTGCAACTTGGGTGAAGGGAAATGTTGAAACTTTAAATTATGTATGATAATGCATTAACAATGATAAGACTTCAATGTCTTTGTAGGGGTGCAACTTGGGTGGGCCCAACTTGAGCCCAAATTAGCCTAACCCAGAATTTTACACGAGCTAGGCTTGGATTTTCGGTCCTCGGGTTGGGCTCGGGCCTAGCCCTTAGGTATCCCAAACTCAGCCCGAGCCCAACCCAATTATATACATTTATACATATATATGTGTATATATGTATATATACATACATACATACATACATACATATTTGTATATATAACATTTGTATAAATATTTTGCATACATATTTACATATAAATATATATTTGTATAAATACATTTAGATATGTATAATTTTAGAATGGGTTCATTGACCAACTCGAGCCTGAGCCTAACCCGAGTGCATCAAATTACAGGGCAGGTTGGGCTCGGGTTGGGAAAATCGGGCTTGACCTCGGGCTCAGGCCGAGCTCGGGCCTTAAGCCCTAATTTTAGGGTTGGGCCTGGGTTGACCATAAACCCAGCCCAACCCGCCTGACTTGCACCCTTATGTCCTAATTATGAGGCCAAGGGACAAGAGGTCTGCACTTTTTTCTCAAAACTATAGGAGAGGCCTTTCTTAGGGTCCAAAGACAAAGGTGGTTTTATAGAATTGTTTTAAGAGGATTTTTTTTTATAATTTTACCTAGAAATAAAACAAAATTAATAACATTTTTTTTAATAATAAAAATTAGCATTAAGATACAAAAAAAAATAATACAAATTTATCTAGAAAATAGGAAATTGGCCACTCTCACTAAAGCACAACTTAAATTGCGATTGGATAAACTAGACATATCCCAAAAAATAATACTTGAATTGAACTTAGATGAACACCACTTAATTAGATATATCATAGAACTCCATCTTTAATTTTACTTATAAATAAAGTCCATACATCACATGAATCCGATTATTATTATCAATGCTTCCAAACAGGTGCTAATTCAGTGCTCACACCGTCGTCACAGCCTTTTACAATTTCATGGGGATATTCCCAGGCTGCATGGGACCGTGCGATCGGTGTGAGCGGAACGGGATCTGTTACTCACACGGGGCGCCTCATGCACATCCACCGTGCATGGGGAACATCTCCCGTCAATAATAACTTATAAGTACGGGAGAAGTTTCCGATACATGGTACGATGTGCGTTTGAGGCGCGAGTGAGGCTCCCTGCAGATCCGGTCTCGGTGTGAGCACGGTTTTGTGAGAATATCAAATCCGATTTCAAGAAAAACGGAAGAGAAGCTGGAACGGCATGCAGTCAAACTGTGGAGGGCTAATTCCGTAATTGTGGAATATTGGGTCTATTTGATCGTAACTCGTATCGTTTCTACTGATTTTCACTTCTCTGAAATTCTTCTGGCTTCTCAGTTCCCAAGTCTTGCATGAAACCAGAAAAGCCACCATTTCTTATTTCAATTTAAGCTCAAGGCAAACGGGAAAAGGAACAAACACAGAGATGGTTTTCGTAGCTCTGCTTACGTTGCTCGCCAAAATCTTTGATCTTGCCTGGTATGCAAATTTTGGATAAATAACGATGGCTGCCTTGCTTCTCTTCTCTTCTCTTCTTTCTTTCTTTCTGTTTTCTGAATATTTTCTTTTCATTCAGGAGTCATGGGTGATTAGTCTAAGAACTCTAATGGTTCTTCTCATTTTGTTAGTGTTTATATCAATTTGGTTGGGAAAAGAAAACTTCTTATACAATGCAGGAACATTGATGGGTTCCTAATTTCTTCTTTTTATCTTTACGTCTCTTTGTTACAGGGCTAAAGTTGCATCTAGAAAAGCTTCTGCGTTTCTGTTTCTGTTTCTGTTTGCTCTATTCTTTTATTGTTTTTCTGATTGCACCCTTCTTGATGTTCTCAACCTTCTTTGTTTCTACAGGCCTCTAATTACTCTGGTTTATCCAATGTAAGTGGGTTTGATAGTAAGATGCTCCGAACAAGCTTCATCCATTATCAACCGAATTAAGTGTTTTGTTTAAGTTTCAACATTTTCAATGAAGCCTTATTTATTGGTCTTTTGCATTGCATATAGATATTCTTCAATTATTGCAATTGAGAGCAACTCCAACGCTGGCAACCAAAAATGGCTCACTTATTGGGTTCTCTACCCTCTTGTAATTCTTTTCGAGTTTGTATCTCTGAAGCTCATTGAATGGTAAGTTTGGTACCTTGCATTGTTCTGTTAAGCGTACTTGAACATTATTGGGTCTTTATTTATATGGTTAGAGATTCTTGGATCTTCATTCAAATCATCAAAATGATACTGAATAAGTGGAGTTGATCTCTGGTCAACGATCACAATTAATAAATTCACCACAGCTGTGAGCTTTCCCATTTGATTCTTATATCACTTTCTCTAAAGAAAAAAATCATATCGATGAATGTTCATTTCCCCCCTTTACCAGGATCTCTTCTTTTTCTTCTTGTTGTCCCCTTCTCCACTTTGTGTTGCCATAACAAGGTATTTGAACACTTCTTACTCAAAATTCTCCCTCTTTTTCTAGGTATCTATTTTGGCCTTACCTGAAGATGATGGCTGCCTGCTGGTTGGTGCTACCTCATTTCAGTGGTGCTGCTTATGCATATAAACACATTGTTAGACCCTGCTTCTTGATGAACCCGCTAACCCTTAACAACTGGTTTACTAAGCAAAAAGGGGATTTTGTTCCAAGTGGATCAAAGGGTTTCCTAGTTGCAGCCAAGATATACATAAAAGAGAATGGATCTGAAGAAGCATTGTCAAAACTGATTACAAGAAAGGCAAGACATTATTGTAGAGTAATGCATTTGGATGCCTTCTTGCTTAATTTCTCCAAGATCTTAGATAAATATCCTTGAAAGAAATATCTGAAACTGACTCTCTAATATTCTGAAAGTTATAGCTTATCTGCTTCTATTATCATATCCGCTAAATTCCTTTCTATTATTGCTTCTGGAAATAGGACCCACTAAGGGCAAGGAACACAAGAGTCTATACTGTTTGAAGCTTCATCACCTGTAGGAAAAAATAAAAGAGGATAAAACACTACTGAAGAATCTGATCAAAGTCATGATGCACTTAATCTCCTGGAAAAGATCATGATGCAATTAAGTACACCAAAATGCAGAATAGAGTAAGAGTTTGTGTGGTCTGGCAGAACACCTATGTTGATCGGATGAGATGTGCAAGTTCACCATGAAAAATTAAGGTTTCTCTGCTTTGTAGCTTTTTTTATCAATAAATTTGTAGTCTTTTGTCTCACCCTCTTTCCTGTCCACTGTAAACACTAGAAGCATATAGAGTAATAGAGATGTGCCCCCAAACACGGACATACTTGGTGCAACTACTGGTTTTCTCCCTCTAATAGATTTTCCCTTTTGTTGGGCCTTTCTTGGTGAGAAATCACAGAACATTTTTCAATATAATAATTCTATCATAACTAAATACTGGTTCAAGTCCGAGAGCATGGGACCATTGATTGGTGTAGTGGCAAATTCTCAGTCTAACAAGTGTGATTACACAGATTCAAGTCTCAAGATTATCATTGCGTAATGGCCCTTTAATGGGATAGGCACTTATTCCAATCTTTCATTTTGGCCTAAATACAGATTTCAGAGACACCACTGCAGGTGTATTATTGCATCTCCACTAAACAGTATTGACTATCTGTTTTAACCATTCTATTTTCTGAATATGTTTCTTGAGTTTCCCATGAACAAATTTCAAGAAAACCATGGTTTTCTAAACCAGATTGGACTGGAAAAACTGGGAACAGGTCACCTGACCGGTTCTGTTTTTCCCCAAACCGTCTTTTGGCCAAAAACCATTGATTTGGTCAGCAAACCGCTGACCCAGGCGGTTGAACCGTTTGAACTTTGAACCTCCAACAGTTTTTGGCCTTTTATTATTATCTATTTAATTTTTTTGTCAGAATGGGCCGTCTGTTCGGTTTGAACGGTCAGACCATTCGACCTGGGAACTGGACGCTTGAACGGTTTGTTGTCCGGTTAGGTTTTAAAAACCTTGAGCAAAACCTTGCTATAGGCTTACAGCATGGAGCCTACTATTGTTGAGAAAGTTACTGAAGCAGCGACGGCCACTAATAACAATGTAGGCTTCAGAGGAGGTAAAGTTCCTATTCTTCTTCAATCAATAGAATGAACACAATGAATTACTGTCAGTCTTAATATAAAGATTCAAGTGCTTGGATACCAATTTTCATTTATTCTAGCTTAAAAGATAAAGCATCTATCTGTGCTTGATAGTGACCTCTACTTTTTACCTTTATATTCTAGGTTAAGTGCATGGATTCCGATTTTGCTTGCACAGAGCAAAACATTGTTGAAGCCGTGGAAAGTGAAGCAGCAGCACATGCAGACAATATTGGGAATCAAACCCCTGGGGTAACTGGTCCCAAGGTTGCAGCAAATGTAGGACATGTTGGAAGTAAATTTCCGAGCCTAACTGGTTCAACAACAGAACATATTAGAAAGGAAGTTCCTGGCTTAACAACAAAACAAGCAGAATCTATTGGAAATGAAATCCTTGGTTTAACTGATCCAGAAATATCAGCAACAGAAGGATATGTTGGAACTCAAACTCCTGCATTAAGTTGTCCAGAAACTGAAACTGTAGAACACACTGGACTTCAAATTCCTGGGTTAATTGGTCCAAGGACAGCATTGACATCCCAATGTGTTGGAAAGCCAAATTCCAGTGTTAACTGGCACAAAGAAAGCACAAAATGAGTGGACTTGTGCACTCTATCAGGTGGCAGCACTTAAAATGAAAAAGGCTGCCTCTGTTCCAAGGCCTCGGAGTGTTTGGAAGAGAGAATCTGATTTATGGTGTGATACATGTCTAATACGGTGCTCTGGAGAGTCATCAATGATCTCCCATCTTCTTGGCAAGAAGCACAAGGCCAAGCTGTACGAACTGGCCTCATTGAATCCACCACGGGAGGGTCAACAATAACATTTAAGTATGTTGAAGTTATGCAAGTTTAGAAAAGTGAATATGATGCACAAGGTTAAAGGGTAAATGGGGTGGGTGGAACAACTTGGGAGAGGATTAATCCTGGTTCCTGGACAAAGTGAGGTATCTAGAAACTGAAATTGATTTACTGCTTTACTATGTTGTTGGACTTTGGTTTTTCAGATAATCTAGTTGAAGGTGTATTTTGTTGGTACTCTCTCTCTGCGGAGCATTCAATTTCAATACCCAGTCTTTTAACCCCAACTGCACTTTCCACTCTCCAGACCACACAATCACAACAGTAGCTTGGATAACATAACTGGGTACAAGTTTAATGAATAGTTGGAACTTGGATGCATTTTGTATTTGAATTCGGATTTCCTCATAAAATCCTCCTCAGACTCGACCCAGTGCAATCAATTAGGGGTGCAACTTGGGCTCGCCTATCCCGAACCCGGACCATTTCACTCCGAATTTTTGCATGTGTTGGGTCCGAGTTTTCGGGCTGCAGGCTGCAGCGTGGACCCAGGTTAAATAATTGGGGTTTGACATAAATTTGGATTGGGATTGGGCTGAGGTGTCTTGGGTAGCCCGAGCCTAACCAGAGCCCAGCCCAACCAATTCTGAACCTGCCCCAACAAATACATATTATATTTATATAAGAAACATTTATTTTTCTAATTATGTATATATACACGTGTATAGTGTATATGTGTAACATATGTATACGTATACATACAATTGTAAATGGAATTTTTACATATTTTCAATCAATTTATTCTTAAATTGGGTCATAAAGTCCAATATATACATAATTTCTTTCAAACTTGACCAACTCTTCCTAACCCAGCCTGGCCCAGTTTGAATCTGACCCCAGCCCAAGTTGTGTAATTGTGTTGGGTTAAACTCAGGTTGGGCCTAGGTTGATAGTCTTGGGCTTAGAGGTGTAAATTGGGTTGGGCTGCTTGTGGCCCGACACGAAGTTGGACCAGCTTGGCTCGGCATGGCACGACAGCCCACGGGTCGTACCAGGCCCGACATGATGGTCTGTGTCGTGCTGGGCCGGGGGTTCGAGGTCCACGGGCTGACACGACACGGCACGATTGTTGGTGCCGTGCTACCCGCAACTCGCGTGCTGGCACAACCCGTAGCAGGCTGCACTCGGCTTGTCCGAAAACTAGCTGTCCCTTCCCCCCCATAACAGTTATAGACAACTATACATGGGGATATTTATGTATTTTGCTTATGGAGGGGAGAAAAATGACACAAATGCCCCCAATAGCTCTATAACAATTAGTTTAGGGGGCTTTTTGGGTAAAGTTGTCAATAACTTTACAATGACCAAAATACCCCTCTTAACAACTAAAAAGTAGTTAATTTTTAGGGTATTTTGGGCAATTGAATTAGTTTCAATTCCTATAAATAGCCCTATGGCCCCTATCCTCCACCATTCTTCTCATCACACCAATTCAACAATCAACATTCAACAATTCTCTTATTCTCTTAATCTCTTCAGTCTTCCCTCTCTCAATCTCTCACTCTCTCAGTGTCTCATACATTCTCTACAATCTGAGTGAACTTTGATAGTCTCATAGTCTGATTGGCTGATTGTTTGATTCTCCAAGTTAGCAATTTGGGAGGCTTGGAGCATTGGACGTTGTCACGTTGAAAGGCTTTAACCGTTGAAATCAAGTTGCGATTTTGAACTGGCAATCCGGGGTAAGTCCAATTAAATTAATTTTATTTTTTTAGAATTTAAAAAAAGAATGGCCAGCTCTTCCCAAAACCCAAGTTTAGTGGCCCGATTTGGAAAATATTTAATATAGAAGATGTTGAGGGGAAGGGGAAAAGAGTAGTTTGCCAAAAATGTAGAAAAGACTTTAGATATTGTAGCAAGAGTGGTACTGGCCATTTGACCAGACATTTTCTAACACATGAGAAGAAAGAAGAAATAACCCACAATTTAAATGAAAGAAGAAATAACCCACAATTTAAATGAATTGTTGAAATAATGGAAAATAAATTTTAAAAATATTGGGAGAAGTTGGAGAACATTTCTTGCCACCAATCCTGCCATGGCACTTGATCCGTGATCTACTAACCCCTCAGGTGTCTACAGGCTATAGTACCATCGAAGTCTTGTTTAGTTGTTTTAGTGCAGGACCTGTAGGTACCATTGTACCAGGGTTGGTTAGATGCAGTCATGAATCATGATGCATAATATAGATTACAACTTTACAATTACAAAACAAAAGAGGGCATGATACTACTACATACACCGGATATTTCACCTGAAACAGATGATGAAAGCGTGCATGAATGCTTTCACTATAATGTATATGCAAATTTTGTTTAAATTGTAAATTTTAACAAATAACCCACACTTTTTTTATTTTTTTCAAATTATTGTAAATTTCGTTTTAAGTTATTTGCTATTAATGTAATTTTGTATTTTGTATTTACAATAATTTCACCAGTAACTATATTGCATTTTTTATATTTTATTAATTTACTCCATTTTCATATTTCATTCATCCAAGTATGATTGTATGAAGTATCCAACCATTGTATATTTCAATATTTGTATGCTTTGTAATTTGTATCACTATTCATTCAAATTTAAATGAAATAAAAATCTTATTAGAATTGCTTTATACTTTTATTTATTTATTTATTTTTTGGGTAATCGTAAATTCGTAAACCATAACCATATCCATATCCATCCAGTCTACGTCTAGCCCGATTCGGCCCATGCCCAAGGCCCACCCTGTGACCTAGCCCGACATGGCCCAAGCCCATGGCACGACCTACAGCCCGGCTTGGCCCAGGCCCATGGTTCGGGCCCACATAGGCTTGGGCCATGGGCCGTGCCGGGCCGATCCCTAGAATTTTCACCGGAGAGGGCGACACGACCCACGAACCGCCCACGGGCCGTGCCATGCTGACACGACGCACTTTACACCTCTACTTGGGCTTAACCTTGAGTTGGGCCAGGTCCAAGCTCGAGGTTTGTAGGGTTGGGCCTAGGATGACTTTCAACTCGACTCAACCTGCAACTGTTGAATTTAATAAATAAAAAAAAAACACCTGATTAGTTAGCAGTTTTGTGATACTGGTTGATTGGCTGCAATTTCCTTTGGGTATCATGTCTTTCTGGTATCAGAGAGAGAGAGAGAGAGGTGAGGGGTCCTCTCACCACAATATTGCTCACATAGACCTCCTCTTCTCATTTCTCACACATGTGGTTAGTCATTTTTAAATTAAACCATAAAAATATAAGAAATAAAAATAAAAAGCCCTCTCATATATTCATTGTTTCTAATAAAACCCATCTACTACCCAAATAAAAACCCTTTTAGGTCTTAATTGTTTTAATAAAATCCACCATTGCTCTCACCAATAAAGATCATTCTCTCTTTCTCTTGTTCCAATAGTCAATGTTTGTAATATCTCTTCTCGTCTCATCAAATATCAAATCTATATGTGTATATTAAAATAAGGTTATCCTATCATGTTTCTTTTCTCTGTTTTCTTTTTGGATTTTTCTTTTTTTTTTTTCTATAAATTCTATAAACACCGACTATTACAAGGATGGCATTAGATTAGACTTCATGCTATCTAAACAACTTGGTACACCAGGAAAGAGTTTTACCCAAGTTATTAATTTATTGGCATTTTTTTGTCGAAGTCTTCACATAGGAAGTATTATGGTAGTAGTTTTAATAAATACAAGCTAAGTAAGAAAATGTGAGAAGTTGGTTGCAGACTAAAATGTATCTGTGTTCTAACGTAAAAGTTAGAGAGCACGGACAATCTTGCATACCGGCCATGATAAGCAAGATATTTATGGTCTACCCCACTCTAATATGCTCTCTTGGCATAAATCCCAACAAAAGATGCTTTTAATGTTTGGTAAGATAGAGAGAACGAATGATTAGGGGTGCAAATGGATCAGTTCATGATCCAATACAATCCGAAGTCTGATCCTATTTTGTCCAATTTGAATATCCCCATTTCGAATCTTTGGATCAGATCAGATAATATGATCTAATCAGAAATTAGATCCGATCCGGTATGTATATGTGTGTGTGTTATTTATTTATAAATATGTTATTTATATTACATTTTTATAAATTTGTTATATTATTTATGTATATATATGATGGAAATTGTTGAAAAGATACTTGTATTTTTTTTGTTTTTCTTTATTTAGATTGTTATATTTTATTTTTCTTTTAATAATTTATTATTTTTTTTATAAAATTAAATCGGATTGGATCAGATCTAACTATTTAACTTCTTCATCAGATTCAAATTCAAATCAATGTTTGTGAGATCTAATCTGTTTGCATTGCAACCAAATACAACCTAAATAATGAAACCTCCCCTTACTTTTTAAAATACTAATAATTCCCTTGTCTTAGTTATATCTAACGAAATCATTAAAAAGCCTCTTTTGTCCTTTAGGCTGCATTTGGAAATGATGCAAATGGAGTGTAAATCCCGGTTCACGGTAAATTTGCACTCTGGTCACTTTTGCTTGTGTTTAATAATATTACATTTAATGCATTGACAAATGACAGGCCAATGCATATTTACATTGATAATAAGATGTAAAAGTACATCAATAAAAAAGAAGTAAATTTGCATTCAAGTGGGTTTTTGATAAAAAAAAAAGAAAATGCTTTATTGAAATTCGTATTCACATCCATTACAGGTAAAAGTCTGTTTGGTAAGAAGGTAAATTTGTCAATGCAAAACTAGCCCAACTTTGCAATTTATATGGACCGTTTACACTACATATTTGCATCCACACTTATTTTGCATCGTTTTCAAACGCAGTTTTATAAATCATTAAGTTTTCAAAACTATGGAATTGCTTGAAAACATAAAATACAACTTTTACTAGTTTCAGCCATATATTGGGATCTGTTACACTTATTTTTCAGCACTTTTACGATAAATTTATCTTGCTTCCTGAAATTTTTTTATCTTAGAAAAATTTTTAAACTATTTGCTCATTTATTTGTTTTTCACATTTTAGATCTAGGGATTTCAAGGAAGATTTGGCTTTAAATACTTATATAAATTCAATTGGAGATTTTATTCTTTTTTTGGTAGGAAAGAAAACAAACCAGCCAATTTGCTAGCTAAAGGGGTATCGCATCTGTAAATAAACCCATAGCCCTTTTTTTTGCAAGGTATTGTGAGCTTAGAGATTTTATTCTGGGTATAGGTTAATTTGGCTTTAAATCGTAGAGCTCAAATTGTCAAATGTGCTATTTCGATATTTGATGGTTTCCGTAATATATATTGACGGATGATGGGTTTGGCATTAACAATATAATATATGTTTTCTTATGTTTATATGAAACATTATAATCTTAGATTTTGCAAGTTGAACTTTACAATTTTAAAGATCCATTTGCAAAACACCCAAATTCTGGTTTTGCAAGGTTGTACAGATTGAATCTTCTTTGCATCATCACATCTTGCAAAGGTTTCAACATCCATCGGAAATATTAGAAATTAGGACATCAGATTTGTTTTGATATTTTTCTTGCTTCATCATCATGAAAAGGGCAAAATTGGGTTTTTGAAAAATTTTAATATCACGGGCAAGCAAATCTTAACAAATTACTAACTAAGGTAACGCAAGAATCATATTTCATTCAAACTAAGAAACTTATATGAACACAGAGAGGGAAGTAATCACAATACCAAGAAAAAAGTATAGAAAGCACAAAATATGAACTGTGAATAAAGAAGAATAAAAAAAAAACTTCTACAACTGAACTGACATAAGGTGAAGTAGAATCACCAACAAAAGAAATAATTGAGCGCATCTCCAACCACCAAAAGGCAAAATCATCAACTAACAGGAGAGATTTTAATTCATTTGGAGGTTTCAGTATTTATGTAAAAATTCAGGGGAGATTTAAGTCTTTTGCCCTAAATTTGGGGACAAATTACAAAAGCTTCTCCATGCATTCAACGAATCAACTTTATACGATGTTACATTAGTTGATGAACAAATTATTCGGTTATTCCGTCACCCATGGCCATGGGTGAGTCACCCGTGGTCTGAGGTTATTAAATTTGTGATTACGTGGCAAAACTAAACCACTTTCATGAACTAAAATATGTTTTTGCAAAATTCGGACAGAATTTGTTGCAGTAGAACACGACGGGTGACTCACCCATGGGTGACGCTCTCATTTTCCAACTTTTTCGCTCACGATCTCGAAGCTGAGACTACGGAGTTCTGCCGTCTATTTTCCTCTTTTGCTTATTAAGGAGGCTGTTCTGTTCTTAGTTTTGTCTCCATTCTTAAAAACAGATTCCTTCCTTGCTTATTAAGGAGGTTGTTCTTTCTTTTCCCTCGGTTATTCTTAAAGGATTCCTTCCTTATTGAGAAGAGTTAGTTTTGTCTCCGTTGTTGTAAAAACGCAGAGCGGATGAGCCATTGTCTTCTCAAGATTCTAGTGAGCTGTATGCGAAGAAGGACATAGACGAGGAATTGGAGAGATGGATTCAGTATCTTTTCTCAAGTTGGCTGCTAAGATCTTATTTGCTGGGTATGTTATGCATTCTCATGACGAAATAGAGACACAAAATATTGAATTCCTCTCTCTGTCTCCTTTTTCCTTTAATTTATTTCAAGTTTTTGGATACTTTTCTATGCACCCACCAAAAGCAATTCAATTTTCTCTGGTGTTTTTTTTTTTTTTCGTTGATTTGATGATGAACCCTTGAAGGATTAGTTTTCTATTTCATGTTTTGCTCTGCTAATTTAGAAGAAACAGGGAATGGATTTGAATGGATTTTTTTTTTTTTGCAAAGTGATAGACTGTTGTTTTATTTTCAAGTGTATTTCTGTTGTCTTCTTTTCAAAAGTTGAAATTTTATGTAGCATGCTGAACCTTGGATGAGTCTTTGTTCAGTTGTCCTTTCAATCAATTACTCTAGCTTTGATGGGTTCCTTTGTGTAAATAGTAGTTCTTATTCTTACTAGGAGGCTACAAACCTTGGTTGGGTCCTCTTGTTTTATTAATGTTTATATGTTCTTGTTTTGCAGGCCTGTATTTACTCTGATCTATCCCCTGTAAGTGGATTTTCCCTCTTATTTTGCTAATAAGATACTGAAATTCGTTTTCTCTACCTTCTGTTTTTGTTGAGGTTGTCTGAGCTTTCAAAATATTGGAGAGAAACTAAGAATTAGGATTACTTTTCTCTTGGATTCTTAACAGATATGCTTCAATCCAAGCCATGGAGAGTGGCTTGAAGTCAAACAATCGACAATGTCTCACATATTGGATTCTGTTTTCTCTTATTACACTCTTGGAGATTACGCTTGCAGGGACTCTCAAGAGGTAATTGTTTCTTTCTTAAGACTAAGATAAACTGATTGTTCTTTATACTGAATTTTATGTTTCACTTTTCCAGCTTAGAATCTGACAATTCAAATTGTAGTTTATTGTGTGAGATTTTTTTTGCTTCTGAAACAGCATGTCAGTTGGAACAGAATATATGTGTGAATATGTCATAAACAGATGAACATACATACAACATGTTTGGATGCCACATGAATGAAATGAAATGATATCATTTTTATCCTACTTTAAATTTTAGAGGTGGAGCTATGCTTGGTTGATGATAAAGTATTAGGAAAATTCCCCTGTACTTTTGGGCCTAGTGCCACTTTGGTCCCCAAACTTTAAATAGCAAATATTCAGTACCTCTGAACTTTCAAAACGTGCCAATCCAGTACCTATCGTTTAACCAGCCATTAAGTAGCATTTGAAAAGACACAAACACCCTTCGAGTGTGTCATCTAATTTTCTTTATTAACCATCCAAGCATTGACAAAAAAAATGAACAGTCCTAAATCCTTGCCTCTTCTATTCAAGAAAGTTGGGGTCACCAGAATGTCCATTGAGACATGACCCCGACTTTCTTGAATAGAAGAGAAAAGGATTTGGTACTGTTCATTTTTTGTCAACGTTTGGATGGTTAATAAAGAAAATTAGATGACACTCGAAGGGAATTTGTGTCTTTTCAAATGCCACTTAACAGCTGGTTAAAGAAAATTAGATTGACATGTTTTGAAAGTTCAGTTACTGAATTGTCACTTTTTAAAGTTTGAGGACCAAAGTGCATTTTCAAATGCCACTTAATGGTTGGTTAACGACAAGTACTGGATTGACACGTTTTGAAAGTTCAGGTACTGAATTGTTGGATTTTAAAGTTATGGGACCAAAGTGACACTAGGCCCAAGGGAATTTTCCCTAAAGTATTTAAATGATTGGGTTTCTTTATTTTGAGAAAAAAAATTACTTTTGGTTTGTTGACCACTTGAAATGAATTCATTTCAGGTGATAATAGTGTAGTGATGCCAATGCTACTCACTTAAAAGTAAATTGAAATGATACCATAATACCAGGCATCCAACAAGCTAATAGTAGTTAGCTTCATTATTATATTGTGACAGTTACTACTACTAGGAAGTTTTTAGTTCTTAAATTATCACAGTTTTAACTTCTGCTAAGGTATTTTTGGTTACCTATGGACTGTTCCAGTTGCTTATTCATTTTCTTTTCTATTTCTGTTATACCAGAAGCTAATTCATATACATTGTTGTAGAAACTTGTTAAATCTCCTCATTGATTTGTTTGTCTTTACATGGTAGCTTCGAATTCTGGCCTTATGCAAGGGGAATAGCTGCCAGCTTGTTGGTGGTACCGTGCTTCGACGGTGCTTCTTATCTTTATCAACACTCTGTTAGAATCGTTTTTTATGTAAAGATGCAAATGCTTTACGTATGGTTCAAATTGTGGAAGGGCTTTGCCCCTAAGAAACAGGATGACTTCCTTGTTGCTGCGAAGAGATACATCAAAGAGAGTGGATCAAGAGCAGTGGAAAAGCACATCATCCACGAGGTAGAGCTATGAAATGGGTTTCTTTTCAAAAACTTTTCTGGCATGTTTTGGATGAATATCAAAGATATCTCTTGCATATAAAAGCTGTTATGTGAACAAGATTTCTCCGTTTCAAAAGCTTTTCTTACCAGTTCTGGCAGCATTGCTCTGGTCATCTTTGAGAGTTAAAGCATTGAGTGTTTGATGCTGAATTCTTGACAATTTTTTATTGCAGGGTTACTCCAAAGAGCCAGTCGTTGAACTCTTGGATGGGGAACTTGTTTGGCCGAGCAGTTCAAGGAAGGCTCAAAAGGAATGGTGCTGTGCACTATGTCTAGTGAGCACTAACAGCAACCGATGTTTGGAGGAGCATCTTCGAGGGAAAAAGCACAAGATGAATGCAGAACTGAACTATCTCATGGGCAATGAATACAAGGACGAGTTTGCTCCAATGTTTAGGAGATTCAATGGGTTCGGTCCAGTTGAGGACTGGAATCAGTTCATAATCCTGAAAGTGGAATGGCTAGCTAAGAGCCCAGTTGCTAGACCAATTAGGTGGTGTAGATGGGAGAAACCCATGATGGGATGGACAAAATTGAATACAGACGGATCCATTGATAGATATAATTCTGGACTGGGTGGTCTGCTCCGTGATCACAAGGGTAACCCCATATGTGCCTATGTCACCAAGGCCCCTAGAGATGGGATTTTCTCACTGGAACTGTTGGCCATTTGGAGGGGTCTTGTTCTTGCTGTGGGTCAGGGAATAAAAGCTATCTGGGTTGAGTCTGATTCATTGAGTGCTGTGAGAGTCATCAATAAACAGTGGTCTTGTCCTCACAAAGCCACTAGGTGCTTGTACCACATCTGGGAGCTGCTGACAACGTTTGAGAAGTATCGAGTGTCCCATTCATGGCGTGAAGCCAACCGAGCAGCTGACCATCTTGCGAAGATGGATCTTCCCTTCACCGATGTAGTATTATGGCCTGTGGATTTCCCTGATCCCCTTGTTGATATTATCAGGGAGGATGCTGAAGGGATGGAATACTATAGGCTCTAAGCTTTCAGTTCGGATTTTCTCATCACAGAATGCGCCTCACGCCAACCTCAGCACATCGTAGCCATGCATTAGGAACATCTTCCCATAGATGATAGCATCAAATACAGAAGATGTTCTCAATGCATGACTGCAATGTACTGTGAGGTTGGTGTGAATCGCACTCTGTGAGGAACAAATCCAATCTCTTAAGCTTTTATCTTCTTAATTTGGTTCCAGGCCTCATCTTCAACTAGGCTAACCTGATAACATCGCAGATGTTCTAAGCCTGGACCAACCAAAACACACCTACTGGTTCTTAAGCAACGTTGATGGCCGCCCACCGGAGGAGTTGTTTCCAGCCGGGGTGTAGTGTTTGTCCCGCTGATCCTTCTCTTCAACGATCAGGATCAACTTTGTATAGTGTACATGGCAGCTGGTATGTGGATAATAGACCAAAAATCAACCAAAGAGAGGAGTCTTATCTCTCTTGGTTTTGGTTCTATAGTGCTTACTCTAAAGGGTCTAGCTGAGCTTGAAATATGCAATCAACATATGTATAATACCAAGTAATGCCTGTTTTATTTCTGACTACCTTATTTAGCAAAGTTGATTGATGTATCAGATAACTAGTTTATCATAGTAAAATGTACCATATTACATTGATCATTGCCTAAGATTGAGCCTGTTCATGCCAATATCAGAACCAGACAGTGAAGGGAAAAATAAGGAACTATTCCTTAAAAGAGGACCTGAGACCCAAATCTCTTCAACCGAGTTACACCGGGTCAAACCCACAGCACTACAAGGCTACTGCACCAGTATTCCTGCAACCAAAATTTAGCACCACAGTCGAAAGAAATTCAGAAGAAATGAAGCCTCGAATATTTTTAAACAATATAGATACTATATATTCTCAACAAACAAAAAAGAAAAAAAGATTTCCTACAGTTTGTTCAGTTACTACAACCAAATCACATGAAAATTAAGCTCCCCTTTTGATTTCCTCAAAATGAATTTCCTGTTTTTGGCATGAAACTGCAGGAAAACCAAGCTGTATAATTTACAGATGAATGGGCAAAAGGGAACCCATATGGGTTTCCTGAGATGGCCCATTTTAATCTTGATTGAAGGCACTGAAAATGGCTATTGAGCCCAAGAACCGCCACCCGGTTCACCCCAACTTGACAGGAAAAGGAGATAGAAATGAAAAACCAAACAAGGAAAGCAGAAAAAGGAGAAGCCCTGAAGAAGTGGGGGAAAGATGCATTTAATGACATTGTGAGATTGTAAGAAAGGAAAAAGGGTGTCGTCAGTGTCCAGGACCAAAACCAGTGAGAAAGACAGAAACCCAGAGTTTGATTGAGTGTTGCAGTGGAAAACCAGATCACCTAGGCGGCCCAACCTCACAACATCTCAGCATTTCAGGAAGGAAATCCAAAATTATCGTTCCCCCTTATCAACCCAGTTTCTATATTGCGATCTCAGTAAATGTATATCGATGCTTGGGTTTGATTTGTTAAATACTAAGAACTGAGAGTTTGTTTTAAAAGACCAAACCATCACTCAGACAGTGCAGAAAACTGAAACCCCTCCCTTCCATTTCCTTTCATTTATAGCCACTGGTACTGACCACTACACAGAGGCCGCAACTCACAAATACAATCACTCCGTCTCTTCAGAAACAAAATTACATTTCATGGTTAGGTATTATCACCTAATAAACACAATCTTCATTGGAGCTTGGGGCTAGGAGTTAGGTACATGCAATTAATATTGACACGTGGAAAAATGTAAACTGCCACGTGCCATTCTGATTTCTGCGACACCAACACTGGATTAATTAATTCACTCGCTGAAGGCTTCAGCAGTGAAGCAACTTTTGAAGTCATATGATAAACAGAAACCCAAAAGAACCTCTGAATCATATTGCTTCTGATCAATTACATACAAATAATATGGCTAAAACTAAAAGAATTCCTTACGCTCATTTCTAATTTTTTGTTCAATATTCTCAACTCATAAAACAATCCTGAGAAAAAGGTTATTCTCAGTCTAGCATTGTAGAACTTTCCACTATTTGAATCAAAAAAGAAACCCAACTTCCCCGTATGCAGTATCCAACATTTTCTTTTGCATTTTACAGATGAATGAAGAAGATTAGAGCTGGTTTTCTAATACCCATCATGAAGAAGAGAGAAATATTCATGCACCCAAAATTTAAAAACAAAATGGGTGATTTTAGTCTTTGTGAAAGGTGATGAAACAAAACAGTAGTTTCAATTTTCAGAGATACCCTGAAGAGAATAGAAGGAAAGACAAATATTTCACTCTTAAGAAACTCAGCATGGAAAAATCAGAATAAAGACTTTGACTTCTATTTCTGGGATCAAAAGAGAAGAAGCTCAAACTAACCTGTTTATAGTGGAGAACGTCCAAGCGCTGAAAATCTTTGCGTTCTTCTTCTTCTTCTTCTTCTTCTTCTTCATTGCTCTTCTTGTTTCCAATGTCCCTGTTTATTTCAGTATGCTTATGGGTCTGCTTGTGTTTCCTTTTGCCTGCCCTCTTCTCTTGTAAGTTGTACTTCCACTGCTCTGTATGTAAATAGAAAATGAGTCTCACGTTCCAGTCCTTGGCTCTTTCTTTGTAGGTTTGTACTACAAACCCACTGCAAACAAATCTCACTTTTTTGGTTCCTCTTATTAATTACACAACAATTTTTTGTTTGTTGAGTTTCGCTTATTAATTAGACAATTAAGCTAAGCATACATTTGACAGCACAAAAACACACACAAGTCTGCCTCTATGGTTGCAAATGACCAACATAGCCTTTTGGGTCAAAACAAACCCACATTTCAAACAAAGACTCCACTTAAATTTGTTTAATCCAGCAACACTCAACCTTTTATTTTTTTATGAAATATCCAACAACACTTAAATGGGTTGGTTATTTTGACAGCTTTTTTAGGTCGGGGTTGGATCCAGATTGGCATCTGGTATAAGAGTGCAGGTATTCAAATCTAAATCGTGGATCCAATTAGACCTGCTATGAATCAATCCATTTTAATTTGGGGCCAACCAACTATTTGGTTGAGTTTGGTAAAATTAAGGGAAAATTACTGCTATTGGCACTTCAAAATTTTCACATGCTTTGTTTGGTTTCTAGGAAAATTAGTGAAAGGGAAAATTGTCGGAAAGTGCCTTACGTATTTTATGAAATTTCTTAGAAACAAACAAAACGTTCTGTTTTTCACTTATTTTTGATTAATCAAATACATCCCTACAGTAACCAAACTCTTTCTAAAAACTTTCTTTTTTATGGGAACTTGTGTCCATTAAGGGGGTGTTTGTTTTCATTTGTTTTTGAAATCATTACATCAGCACAAAAATAAAAACATTTTCTTGAATTCTATTTTTTAGCATGTTTTTGAAATCATCAAAATAATGGATTTTAAAACAAAAACAATATTGTAGTTTAAAAATTATATGATTTATGGAACATGATTTTAAATAACGAAATGAAAACATGTGACATGTTTATTGTTTCAGTTTTGAAAACTAAAAACACATTCACAAACAAAATCACGATATTAACGTCATTGGTTGAGATTGGATTTAATGTACAGTCAATATTAGTGAATGCACGTACTTGAACTCTTGCATTTATACGTATATATTCTTGTAAATAAGTCCTTTAGGTTATGTTTGGTTGTGGTGTAATTTTATTTGTACTAATACAAATGTATGGGAGTACAAATGTAAAAAATGCAAATTTCTATTTAATTTTGTTTTGGATTTTATTTTATTTTGCTTCATATCTTAATTTACTTGCAATCAAACAAAATAAGTTAATATTTGAAACAAAAAGTAAGCTAGAATTTACACTCAAATCATTTGCACTGCCATGATTTTGCATCATTGCAAATTTATTTGCATTGCAACGAAGCACAGCCTTAGGGTCAGATTGGAAGGAATAAAAAATACATGTAGAGTGCATAACCTGGTATTTTGTATTATTTTGATCTATTTATACTGCACATATTTGTATTTGTAACTCTTTCCAGCAAAAAGGCTTTCAGGAGTTGCATTGGTATGAGACTGTGAATCCCATTCTTCTATATATAGACAGTAGATTGTTTAAAGATAAATAAATAAAACCCAGCTTCAAAACTTAATATAAGGTCATTAACTAATTATTATTGATGCATGGGAGTTCAATAAAAACGAGAAGCCCAAATTTTTGGGCTTATTTTTAAGTGCTTATTTCTGCCTTTACCTACCACGTTATTTTAACTATATATATATTACTGTCCCTTTGAAATAAGTGATCTTTCACCACCAAATGCTCATAAGTACTTATTTTTCAAATAAACACTCTTAAACTCCATTTATTTGCACTGGTACAAATGCATGAAAGGCTCAGTTTGGAAAGAGTACAAATGTTATAATGCAAAATCTTATATTTTGTATGTATTTATACTGCACATATTTGTATTTGTACTCTTTCCAAATTGAGCAAAAATATAAATCAAGAGTGCAAATTTGCATTACTGGGTCCTTTTGGCAAGTACAGGAGCCTGTACACCAAAACGAGGGTTCTAAAACCCTCTGTTTTGAATTGAATTGAATTGTCTTGCATGGGATCATGAGATAAATAAGATACGAGTCATCTCAGCGATCTTTGTGTCTGATAGTTCGGTTGACAATGGTGTCACATACACACCCATCTGGGTACCGTCTTTGTCTCACGGTCTGTTCCTCCTGGGCTGCCACTGTGAACTGAACATTTCAAAGTACCCAAGTGGGAAAGGAAGAAACAAAGTACCTGAGAAGTGAGATATATGGATTTGTATCATAGAAGGGTAAAAACTTCCTTCTTATTTGTAATTCGATTCTTTTTTTTGTTTTCTTCTTTATTTTCATTTGTTGTATACTATCACTGTGGCGTTCAAACCTTGGTTCTTTACTGCTTAGAATAATGCATCTGTATCTGGTACATGATAAAGTACCAAAAAATTAGGTGGGCCGTACCTGCAGCAATCTCCATACATAGACTGAGCTGTGGATACACAACAGGCCTGAGAATTTGGCCCCCCCAAGTTGTTAGTTCTGCAGAAAACAAGCTCCACAGTTCCCAGATGCATCACACTATCACAGAAAGGTCTAGTAAATGTTTTCATCTTTTGTGAGGCTTGCTTTCACTGATTTCACTTTTTGAGAACATAATCAAAACCAAATTGCTTCATGAAAAATGATCCCTGAGATTGAAATTTGATTTTCATGCACTACATTTGATTCCTCTACTTATATAGGACCAATATTTGTGATGCATGACTGAATATTACTGATCTAAACTAATTAGTTTTTTTTTTTTTTTAATGTTAGAAGGCCGATTTGAAAATGCACTGAAGAAATTTGTCGTCCGAAGTCCCAACAGTTTTTTCTCAGTTTTTATTTTTTAAATTTTCAAGTACCACGGCTGACGACTCCTTACGAGGGCAGCCCGCAGCCTGATGTCGGATTGGAGCTTTTTCAGGTGGGAAGTTTGTGGGAAAACGCCAAGAGGCAAGTGTTTACTCATGTAATGAAAAAATGAATACGACAAAATGAACAGAGAATTGGGGCTCATGTTAATCCCTAGTTTGCCACTCACCAGCTCAGCCTTCCTGCTCCTCTGCTCAACCTCCTCCTTCAGACTTCAGAGCTGAGTTTGGTTCAATTTGACCACATTTTTTCAAGGATTATATGCCTGGGTTATAGTATTTCTCCTGTGCAAGACTTGCCATGTCCTCATGGCTATATATATATATATATATATGCAATTCTTTTTCTTTTATTCTTAGGTTGGGTAAATTTTCTTCCACTCTTTCTTTCTTTATTGCAAAATAAACATAACTTTTTTGTAAGTGATGGTTAACGGTAACTAATGGATTGGCACGTTTTGAAAGTATGGATACTGAATTATTGCGTTTTAAAGTTCGGGGACCAAAGTGGTACTAAACCCAAAGTACATGGTACTAATCTGAAATTTTTCCTATTTTTAAGCTCTTATTAGAAAAAAGGCATTTAGGCCATGTTTGGGAGTGCTTCAAAATAAGTGCTTATTTGGGCCATTACTTATTGGTATTTGGGAAATAAGCTCAAAATAAGTGCTAATTTTTTAAGCCCAAATTTCCAGCTTTTTCAAGTGCTTATACAACAAGCACTTATTCAATTTTTTTCTTCCAAAATTATCCTTAGTTGAATTTTAAAATACCACTTATAAAATTATCCTTAATTGAATTTTATAAAAGTACTTTTATGAAAGCATTTTTACAAAAGTACTTTTATGAAAGCATTTTTACAAAAGTACTTTTATGAAAGCACTTTTATAAAAGTACGTTTACAAAAGCTCTTTTAAGAAAGTACTTTTATAAAAGCACTTTTATGAAAGTATTTTTAAAAAGCACTTCTATGAAAATACTTTTATGAAAGCACTTTTATAAAAGTCCTTTTATGAAAGCATTTTATAAAAGTACTTTTGTACTTTTGTAAAAGTGCTTTCATAAAAGTACTTCCATAAAAGTACTTTCACAAAAGTGTTTTCGTAAGGGTACTTTCTTATTTAAGTGCTTATTAGAGAAAAAGACTACCAAGGCCCTGTTTAATGATTAAGTGGTTGTTAAAAGAAGTACTTGTTGTACAAGTACTTTTTAGAATTACTCATTTTAACAACCACTTAAGGTTGTTTGATGACCTACTTGCCAAATCACTTATTATGTTTTTGAACACTTATTGGGGTGGGCATGTTTGGTAAGCTACTTTCCTCATAAGTGTTTATATTGATACAAATGGCAATTTTAGCTTTCACTTTATTCATGCATATATACAAGTCCAAAGGAAGGTGCCAGTCGTCGGTCGCCAATCGCTCCAATGAAGGTGTCACACTAGTATGCTTGACCCTGTTTGAGTGAGGAAGAAGGGGGTTTAAGGAGAGATGGGGGTATTCTGGGTATTTAAAAATATAAACAAGGACTTTTTAGTCCCAAAGTTGCTTTTTTAATAAGTACTTCTTTATCAAATAAGTACTTTTTCAGTACTCTTTTATCAAGTAAGTACTTCTTTATCAAATAAGTAATTTTCTACTGAACACCCACAAGTGCTTATTTTCCACTTAATGTGTGGTCCCAACACTTTTATTAAGTACTTATAAAAAAAGTACTTGTTTGAAGTGAAATCAAACAAGCACCAAACACCTAATATAAAATAAATGCTTATTTTAAAAAATAAAAATAAGCACTTGAAAAGTTGGGTGTCAAATGCAAATAAGTGCTTATTCGAATAAATGCTTGTTTTTAAGCACTTATTTTTAATTTAAGCATTCCCAAACATGGCCTTATTTTAGGCCAAGACCACACCAATAAACACTCATATGTGTTTGGAAAATAAGCCTGAATAGGCACTTTTCAGGAAAAAAGAAGGCTGCATTTGATGGGGCTTCTTGCCTCTAAGGCCATATTTGGGAGTGCTTAAAAATAAGTGCTTATTTAGGCCATTAAGGACTTATCGGTATTTGGTAAATAAGCCTGAAATAAGTGCTTATTTTTTAAGCCCAAATTTCTAACTCTTTTTTAAGTGCTTATACAATAAGCACTTATTAAATTTTTTTTCTTCCAAAATCATCCCTTATTGAATTTTAAAATATCACTTATAAAATTATCCCTTATTGAATTTTAAAATATCACTTATAAAATTATCCCTAGTTGAATTTTATAAAAGTACTTTTATAAAAGCAATTTTACAAAAGTACTTTTATGAAAGTATTTTTACGAAAGTACTTTTATAAATGTATTTTTACGAAAGCACTTTTATAAATGTATTTTTTCGTAAAAGTGCTTTTACGAAAACACTTTTATAAAAATTTTTTTATGAAAGCACTTTTATAAAAATACTTTTATAAAAACCTAAATTTTTCTATTTTTTCTTTTCCAGAACTTTTAAAGTCTAAATTTAAAACTCCCGGAAACCTAAACATGTTCTGGTCCTGCTCTCTGCTTCGTTACGTCTGTAAGGTTTTACGCAAAAACAACATCTAGTTGAATTTAAACGATTGGGGTGAAACTAGCTCTACAAAGCGTTACTCAGTCCAGTGAGTTTGTGCTTCACAAATGGATTAGGAGGACTTCGAATAGATTTACCTGAGAAGGCAAGCATGATGTCATATTATCAGTACTTTTTTTTTTGCTTTGATCAAAATGCGCAATCAACAGCGACTCTTAAGTGTGTGTGTGTGAGAGAGAGCATGAAACCGTCATCATCATATTAAATGACCAACAGTAACAGTTTAAGACAAAGGAAGTGCTCTCAACAGTTACAGTTGAGAGCAAAATACCCCTCAGCTCGTCTTTCTATGTACTTCGGAGTGTGAGTTGAGTATAGGGCTCTGGAGAGTGAAGACAGAACCATATTTTTATATTCATACTACTCGTTTTATATTGTTTTAATATCATTTCAAAAGTTTTGAGATCCTGAGGCTTCAGATGAACTTACGAATTTTCAATCAAAATATATTCAGTACTCGCTAGTATGTCAGTGGCTTTGTCTGAGACTAGAGTTGGCAAAATTTATCGCATTTAAAGCCATGATTCATCCAGTAGATATAACATAAGGACATTCACATTCACATTCAGCAAGTACTTTATAAATATTCTGATAATTGTTAAAAGTTGTCTTTAATTCTTTTCAATGGCAAGTTGAGGGTATTTCAAGGAACAAGTGTCAAAAAAAATTTAAAGTACTTATTTAACGTGCTTACAACGACGTACCTACCTGATCCAGACTCGATTCCAACAACCTACCAGCTTGAAGTTTTCATTCTGTTTTTGAGTAAACATGCAAACCCAATTTTGCAAATGTGCATCTTCTAAAATGCCGATCGATTTGGCAAATTCAAGCAACGCAAGCATTGAACATTGTGGCCATGCAAATGAATGCATCTGCATTTTTCTTTTTTCTTTTTTTTTCTGCAAATGTTTTAATTAAACTCTTATGGGTTTGACTATCATACAAGAAAGATATGATACCAGAAAACAAATAGACGACTCATAAAAGTGAACTCGAATCTCATATCCACAAAATCATGCCACATCTCTTCCCTGCAGACGTGCTTTCGGAATATCTCTCCTTATCATTCATGGGGAGATGTTCCCAAATGCACAGCAGTAGTGTCCTGTGGGTAAGAAATCCGACATGAATAAAAGTAGTAACGAATCAGGTGGTATTAATCAAAATTCATGGGAATTTTGATTGGTCAAAAACTCTTCCCATATATATATATATAAATTATGCATAAAATCAGATGATTGGAGCTTGGAAGTCATCTTTGATCATGCTAATTTTTTGAAGTGGCCCTCTCTCCTAGGTATGACCATTCATCAAATGCTGGGAATCCAACATCCGGCTTGTGGTGCAGGTTCAAGAGTCCAGACCCAGCTACAAAACCTGCGTCTCCAGACCGAAAATAGTCCGGTCCCCTGTGTTTGTGCACAAATTCTCATCAGGCCTTGTGAATCATGGTCCTCGCTTAGAAGCCTTATATATAGGAGATCAAATTCCTATGGAAAAAGCCGGATTCAAAGCTGAAATGGTTTTATTTTATTTATTCTTCTCGGTGTTTCTCCTTTTATTTACGTTAGTACAAACTCTCAAATGGCAAGCATTATCAAGTTAGCATAATTTACCTAAATTTGAATTCAATCCTATTAATATGACAAAATCTATGATGGTAAATACACCATGTAAAACATAAAGCTATACCTTATAAAATATAAAACAAAATTAAATAGATCCTGTAATGCCTTTAATGTGATTAATTGAAATTTTGATTTAACATGCAACAAATATTCAAAATGCACCAAGACTCAATTACTATTCCCATGCAAATTTATTTTAAAATTAGATTTTGATTTGAACTCAAATCGGATTCAGATATTACATACAAATTAAACTAAAATCAAAACATTATATTTAAAATAAAAAATTCGTGTAACTTAGATATTATACAAGTTTAATAAAACGAATTAAAAGTAACTTTCAAGAGAGAACATATGAATCTCTAAGGAAAATAAAATATTTATTTATTAAATCAAAAAAGGGCTTGGGGCAAAGCAAAAGAAAATGTGATGATATTTAAACATACGTTAATTTTATACAGACATGCCTACCTAAATACTATTATTACCAGACTCAAATGTTAATAGGAAGGGATTGGGGCGGATTCAGGTTGGGTTAGATCATAAATGGAACTCATCTTTTGAGTACCAAATCTTGTTCAATCCTTCCGGATTTCCAATGCAGACTTGGATCATCAGGAAATGTTAGCACCGGATTATTGAATTCATCCAGAAAACATCCCCTAAAAATTGTTATTAGCAAGGATCAAAAAATCGTTACGTATCGGGCCCTTCCCGATACACCCCTACAGGGGTTGTGTCGAGTCAGGGCCTGGTTCAGAGGGTAGCCGGGACTTAAACCGGCCCCTCTGAACCAAAATCAAAAAAAAAAAAATTAACTGACAGGGCCGATATGCCAATATCGATACTTTGAACCTTGCTTACAAGTGATAGGTAGGGCAGAAGGTAGTCCATTAAAATAGGGCAGCAGAAAATAATTACCCATCTAACAAAACCCAGGGCGTGGATGCATAAAAAAGAACATCTGTAAATGGAACATGACCCAACAACATACAAATTGGTAAGAGAGATGTGTTATCACATCACATATGAGTCACTGTATAGCGAGAATGGTTATACTTCATCTCCCTGGAGCAAGAAAAATCAATTTAACATTTCTACAAAGAAGCTCCCATACATACATTTTTAATGTATTCGTCGTGTTCCAACTATAACAGCCTCTCAAATAACAGTTGAATGCCAATTTATATTACTCAACCCAAAAAGGGAAGAAAGAGCAATGGTAAAACAACCTTTTTGTTTAAACTATCAGACAGGTATGGTATATGGTCCATATTGTGACATTTTATGCTTTAAAAAATGTAAGCTTCAGTAGCTGCAGTTAGCACAGAAACAACCAATATATGTTGTGCTTCGTGCTGAGAATACAAGTAGACAACAATGAAGCGCTGTACAAGTAATCAACACAATTGATTGATTGGAAGGAAGAAAATTTAGGCCAACAAATGGGCGGATTACGGGTGATAAGTGCATTCATATACAACAATTTAGGAGATGTCTGCACTCTCAGAGGCCCCCTCGATTGAAACCTTCTTTAGAAAAAAAAAATAAAACATTTGGAAATGACCCCCCTCCCTTGTGTTACCCAAAAAAAGAAAATGAAAGAAAAAAAGATGGGCATCTCTCTCTCACTTGCGCGCACATGCAGATAGAAAAGAATGGTATTGTCTATTTTCTGTTTTCACATTTTCTTATACTCCCAAGAGACGGTAGTGACTTCTTGATTTTAACATTCACTGACATGTCGGTAATCCTGGTCTCACTAGATCTTCCCATTGTTGTCTCACCATTTTGATCTGAGTGTAGAACTGCAAACCTGCCTTGCCTGGAATGCACATAGTGTTAAGTGTAAGAAACTGCTCTGTTCAAGTAGCTGCTACCAAGGCTAAGGGATGGAAAAAGAAAAGAAAAAGAATATGGAGATATGGAAGTATACTTCTTACCATGGAAATTTAAATCACTTATGACAGACTCCTTGGATCCAGTGGAAGAGAAAAAGGGCAATGAAACAGGAACGAGTGTGTTTATGCCAACCTGAGTTTGACATGAAGGTTACAAAAATTATACACCTTTCAAGTCAGAGAGTTAGGCTTAAGCCCTAGTTAAATTCTATCAAGATTGACCCTTTCTATGCACCATGTGGAACTGTCCTGCATTCAGAATTCAGAATATCATAGCATTTCGAGGAGGCCCTACAGTTGATTTGATTCTAGATTTGGGGCTGTCATTAGGGGTGCAACAATGGCTGGGTTGGCTCAGATTGAGGTCAACCCCAGTCCAATCCAAAGTGTTAAAACCTCGATCCTAACTGTAACCTAACCCAATCTTCAACCCAGCATTCTCAACCATAACCCAACTCAATCATGAATTGGGTTAATTTGGTTGGGTTCAGAACTTCGGATAGAAATTTTACCTACCAAATTTACAGACATGCATAAATACACACTATCAAGACTAATGCAATCACACATTGTATATGAAATCAATACGTAGACATCATATTATATTAATTAAACAATAAACTACCTTTTCAACATACACACACACACACACATAAATTAATGCATGCATCATACATAATGTACAAGAATATATAAAATTATAAACATAATGCATTTGATTCAGGTTAGGTTGGGTCGCTCAAAGAATCAACCCGAATGCAACCTGACTTTATATTGGGTTGGCATTTCCCAACCCAACCCTTTCTTTTTCTCAGGTTACGTTTAGTTCAGGTTGGTCCAACACAAGTTGCATCCTTAGACAGTAGCAGTCATGTACAAGGGTTGTCACCTTATCATTCTACCAAATTTTTTATAACTAGCTTCAAGATATTGCCATGGTCCACTGAATTCAAACTATTCTTCAATCTTTTGTATTGAATCTATACAATTAGTGTACCTGGCCTGTTTCAATCTCATCCCGAAACTTCTTTGCGGCTGCACAAGATGTGGTAAATATAGAAGCTCCATTACAGTATCTGTAATATAAGAATAATGGAATTTTATAAAAAAAAATGTTATTTATAAGATTCTAACTTGATGAGAAATCAAGAGAAATGAGAACTGAGGAAGTACCTCTCTCCGTTAACAATGTCTATTGCCTCTTCTAGGCTGTCAGCCTGTATGCAAGTTGGAACCAGAGAAGCTTACTAAAGTATCTTCAGTTTTAGCAATTCTTAACAAAAGGAGAAGCAATAGCATACCTGCATACAAAGTAGGACTGGTCCAAGCATTTCCTCCTGTTCAAACACAACATGTATTTAAAAAATTTAAATCAAGTTACTGTTCAACTCTACACCAACTAATGTTCCAGCCAAGGTTCAAAATTTTGACACAATATGCCCTGTATGGGGCATATCGTATCATATCTTTGGCTGACTGAAACACCTTTTCTAAGGTTTTTCCAGAAACTTAGTTTTTTTAAATGTTAATTACCCTTAAACCAATCCCCCATGAAAATATCAGAGTAAAAAAGTAAGAAATAAGTGTTTTTTTTATAGTATCAAAACACCTGGTATGCATGTTCGTGTGTATTGATACTTTGGACCTTGGTTCCAGCCCATCAATTCCAAGTGCATGAAGAGAATCCAAGGGAAGAGAAAAGATACCTTGTAACACTCCATATCACTTGTAACATCACATAAGATGGTTGGACCGACAAAGTTTCCATTCTCATATCTCTGAACCTGTTTTACATCTAAAGAAATCAATAACTTCCATACGGAAAAAAAAAGACTCCAATAGTTGGTTAGCTACATTTATACTTTTCTAAATACCATAGTGAACTCAATTTACATAGAACATATCCAGTTTCTTGAGGCAACATGCAGTGAAGAAGCAAATATGAAGTTTTGAATGCTCAATAAAGCATGAGAAGTAAACTTGTTCTATGCCTCAAGTTAGATGTGGGGACCTAGTAAACATGTTACTTGCAACTCCAATCAGGACTAATGGCAAGTTATCCAATTGGCCTGATAAACACATAGGAGTGTGGACACATGCAAACAAAAACATTAACACAAAATAAAAAAAAACTAATAAGCCTGCACATAATATATATATATATATATATATATATATATATAGTAAACTTTTAATTTATAAAAACACAATTTCATTAATTAATATGGGCAAGTCGGGATGCCCAGCTTGGGCCAGCCCAGGCAGCCCTAAAGAACACTAATACACTGTAGAATCAGCCTGGCCAATAATCATCCTCATGTGCCAAATTTGGGCTGAAGTAGGCCCACATCCAACCAGCCCAGGCAGTACGACAAATACTACTCAAAGCTGTCATAGGCCCCATTACCCTTTAGAAATCTCCAAAAGAAATCTCATTATGTTTGGAGTCACATGGTTCCCACAAGAAATCTCATATTTTTTCTGTTCTCTTGGTAACTAGTGTTAGGATTTTGCAAACCAAGCAAGTAAATGGATATGTTGGCAAAAGTTGATTTGATGGGAGTGATTCTTCCCCATAAAGATAAGTAATTTTTTTGTCCAAATAGCCAATTTCTTGGATCAACTACCCAAAACAGGATTCCAAAAGGTAGAGGATTTGGAGTTGCCTCTTATAGGAAGACCCAAATACTTAATTGGTTAATCTACTAATGTCATCTAAATATCTTAGTGTATCTGCTGATGATTCTTTCTTCTAAATTCAAACCAGCAATGCAGCTCTTACCCAACTTGGTTTCTAAATTTTAGATACATTTAGAATACTTTAATAGGAAATGTAGGTTTCTCACTCCTTCCCCACTATTCTGCAAATTACATTTGTGTCACCATCATTTAGTCCTTCCCCACCCTTCATCCACTAATTAAACTCAATCCATCTACCATCATAATCAACAAATTCAGGACATCAGCAACAAGTGTAAAAAGAAAAATGGAGATAGAGGTCTCTTGCCTTAAGCTTTCTAGCAAGGAAGAAGCCTTTGACTACTGTGAGGGATGGTATTAGTTGAATTTGATAGCTGTTTTAGTGGCTGTGGTACCAATCATTTTGCTCCACACTATCCATAAATGCAAATGAGAGATTAAGTGATTGTGGACCATATGCATTTTATGGCTGATGTGGAGCAAAATGACTGGTCCCACAGCCAGTAAAACAGCTATTAAATTCAGCTACTCCTTACCAACAATGAGCAATGACACAACTGTAAACATCCTCTGAGTTATGATATAGGACTTTATTTTAATTCAATATCCATGAGAGCAAAAAGTAACACATAAATGTGGGATTTCAAGCAGAATCTTTTAACGATAACTAGAGTGTAAGGACTATATCAGCAAATACCACAATATTTCTACCATCAAGAACAAGTCTGGCACCACTTTCAATGTCACTCTGGATTAACCTGCATATGTGTTCCTTTGCCTGTGCACACAGAAAACATGTCAAGAAACAACATAAAAACAAACTGCACAAAATGCAACAAATTTCTAAAATACATTCTACACAAATTTTCAATCTTGTTTTTCCTCCCAACTATGAAAGTTCAGGTTAGTCCAAAACCCTCTGAGCTATTTGTACACCTGTTTGCTAATCACTGGCCCAAGATCTGCACCAGGTTCAGTTCCTGCATTTACTTTAAGAGCATTTGCACGTTCCACCAGTCCTGCCTCCCTTGAAAAGGGATATAAACTTGGTGTCAGTTCTTGATATAGAGATACTAATCAGGGAAAAAAGCACTTCATATATAGTGTGGCAAATTTGGTCCTAGCAACAAACAAAAAATATCTCAAATCATAAGAAGGTGAAGACAAGTGTAAGGCTCACACAGACCTCTAACTTCAACGAGGTTGAACCTTAGTGAACAGAAACAAAACCACCCAAAATAATACATAAAGTGGTTTAGGTTAAAAAACCATATACCATATTTTTGAGCCTCCAATAAAAACAGCTATGCTGAGTGTGATACACCTTTGTCCCGCAGCACCAAAACCAGCAGCAACTAGAGCATTCAAAGTGGCATCCACGCTGGCATCAGGCATGATAACTGCATAGTTTTTGGTTCCCATATTGGACTGAAGAGAAAAGCAATCTAATTAATTGATGTAGATTCCAACTAATGCGGATGCAAAGGAAAAAGTGCATAATCTTAGCCTTAGAAGAGAAATATTCCATGCCCATTACTACTATACAGAAAACACACATACACGGGAAAAGAAAAGTATTTACCTGAATTCGCTTCCCTCTAGCTGCTGCTCTCGCAATTATGTGCATGCCAGCCTATTAGAAACAGGGTAGGACAGTTACAACATTTTTTTTGAAAAATGTAAGGTAAATTTATTAGGAACATAGAGAAAGATACAAATAGGCCCCTGGAACCAGATTACATTACAGCTAAAAGAGATTTCTAGAATTCAGCTGGGCTCCAATCTCCCTAGTTTGGAAACCATTTACAGAAGCAGTCCAAGACACCACTTTTCCAAAGGAACTAGAAATGAGGCTGTCTATTCTTTTGGCCTTGTTCTAGAACACTGTTGTTTCTCTCCTCCCAGATGGTACTAATCACTGTTGCAGGAATTGCTTTCCAAACACTTTTGGCTAATTTGGAAAGCCTTAAACAGTCCTAGCACCACAATAGACCTGTTTTCAGGCCTGAGATATCAGAGAAGGAGAGGAAGAAGAGGAAGAGAGAAGAGAGAAGAACGTTTAGATTCAAAAACATGCTGCTGGCGGCTCCAGCTCTCTTTTGTTTTTATATTAGGGCGACCCAATTTAAAATAAAAGAGGGGAGAAATTACAAGAGTGCCCCTGCGGGGCTAAAGAACAAAAATATAAGATAAACTACTAGGAGAACTAACGGATTTCAATACTCCCCCTCAAGTTGGGACATAGATATCAATCATGCCCAACTTGTCACATAAATCATTGTGCCGCAAATGATATAACCCCTTGGTAAAGATGTCTACAAGTTGATCTGTGGAGCTGACATATGGAGAGCAAACTTCTCCATTTACAATTTTTTCCCTTATAAAATGCTTGTCAACCTCAATATATTTAGTTCTATCATGAAGTACTGGGTTGGCAGCAATGTTGATAGCAGATTTGTTATCACAATACAAGGATATGCGGCCATCAACAGGAAATCCCAACTCATCTAACAAGTTCTTTATCCACATAACTTCAGCCACTCCATGGGACATTGCTCTATATTCAGCTTTAGAACTAGACCTTGCCACAACATTCTGTTTCTTGCTTCTCCACGTGACTAGGTTTCCTCCCACAAAGATACAATACCAACTAGTAGACTTTCTGTCATCAACTAATCCGGCCCAGTCAACATCAGTATACACCTCAACCTTCAAGTGACCATTCTTCTGGAAAAGTAAACCAACCCTTGGGAACTTCTTTAGGTACTTGAGGATTCTATCGGCTACCTCTAAGTATGTAGTCTTAGAAGCATGCATTAATTGGCTAAGAACACCCACAACATAAGCAATATCCAACCGTGTCATAGACAAATATAATAGTTTGCCCACAAGTCTCTGGAATTGTTTCACATCCTTGATAGTCTCACCTTGACAATCACCCAATCTGTGGTTTGGATCAATGGGGGAGTCAGAAGGCTTGACTCCAAGTTTTCTTGTATCCTGTAATAAATCTAGGATATATTTTCTTTGAGAAATGAAGATCCCCCTTTTTGAACGGGCCACTTCAATTCCAAGAAAATACTTCAAGGGACCTAGATCTTTCACCTCAAATTGAGTGGCTAGGAACTCCTTTAGTCTCTGAATTTCCACCTTCTAGTCGCCTGTGATCACTATGTTGTCAACATACACTATCAAGGCTGCAATTTTTCCCTCTCCTTTTTTCACAAATAATGTATGATCAGTCTGGCACTGTTTATAACCAATCTGTTGAACGACTAGATGAAACTTGCTGAACCAAGCTCTCGGTGATTGTTTCAGTCCGTACAAGGACTTCTTTAACCTACACACCTTTTTTTCTTGGTCTTGAGCATAGAAACCAGGAAGTTGCACCATGTACACCTCCACTTCAAGGTCACCATTCAGGAAGGCATTTTTAATATCTAACTAGTGGAGATCCCGATCAAGGTTAGTAGCAAGAGAAAAAAGAACTCTGATGGAATTCATCTTAGCAACCGAAGAAAATGTCTCTACATAGTCTACTCTATACACCTAAGTAAACCCTTTCACCACCAACCGAGCTTTGTACCTTTCTACTGTACCATCAACCCTGTGCTTTACTGCAAAAACCCACTTGCACTCTACCGGCTCCTTTCCCACAGGAAGGTCCACTAATTCCCATGTACCATTTTTATGTAATGCATCCATTTCTTCTTTCATTGCATTTGTCCATTCAAGTACTAAAAGAGCTTCTGCCACATTTTTGGGGATAGGGACACTGTCAATGGAAGAGAGAAAAGCATGAAAAGAAGATGAGATGTTCTCATATGAGATAAAGTGGGAGATAAGATGTTTGGTGGTACAAGACCTAACTCCCTTCCTTTGTGCAATAGGGATGTCAAGGTCATTGGCAGAAGAAGAATCAATAGCATATAGGATTAGGAATGTCAACAGGAATAATAGTACCTAGTGGGACGGGACCTATCCTCGGTGAATCTGATGATGTTGGCGGTACAGTTTCAAGTTGCTCCATAGCTTTTGAACCTAACTAGCCCTTGTGGCGACGGAGGAAGACACAGAACGAAGGTGGGTCAAGTAGAGGAGGTAGCACTTGAAATTGTTTCTCCTCCACCCTATTCTCCCCCTAAGGAGAAACCGGATAGAAAGGATCACTCTCAAAGAATGGCACATCCATAGAAATATAGTATTTTCGATAAACAAGACTGAAACAACGATAACCCTTTTGAGAAGAAAGATAGCCCAAGAAGACACAAGGGAGAGCACGAGGGTCAAGCTTACCACGGGTAGGACACAAGTTTTGAACAAAGCAACGACAACCAAACACCCGAATGGGAATAGAGAAAAGGGGGGCTTTAGGGAATAGCAGCTGATGAGGGGCTTTGTACCCTAACACCCGAGATGGCATACGGTTGAGATAGGTAGCACATAATACAACATCCAACCAAAAACGTTTTGGAACACTCATATGGATGAGTAACCCACGAGCCACTTCAAGTAGATGGCGGTTTTTTCTTTCTGCAACACCATTTTGTTGAGGAGTTTTGGCACAAGAGCTACGGTGGATAGACCTACACAAAGCAAATAACTCCGTGAGATCACTATGGAAGTATTCTTTAGCATTGTCAAACTGGAAAATTTGGATCTCTATCTGAAATTGAGTGAATATCATGTGTTGGAAATCTTTTACAATTTTTGGTACTTCATCCCTGGATCGCATGGGGTACACCCATGTATGTCGAGAATAGTCATCAATAAAAGTAATGAAATATTTATAGCCAAGCTCAGATGGTAAAGTAACAAGGCCCCAACATCAGAATAAACAATATGGAAAAGAAAATCATATTTATTATTTCTTGAAGGAAAATGATTTCTACAATGGTTGCTCAATTGGCAAGTTTGACATTTTAACTCAGACACTGACACTAATTTAAATAAATCCAGAAATAAGACTTTTAGCGACTCAAAAGATAAATGACCCAAACAACTATGCCATAAATAAACCTAACTCATACTAGACTGACTCATAGATTCAATGGCTGTAAGACTAGCTTTGTTCTTCAGCATGTAGAGACCATCCACCATAAGACCTCTACCAATCATCTTCCCCGAGTCCAAATCCTGTACAACACAAGAAGGGAAAAAGGTCACTGAACAATTTAATGAATTTGTAATGCTACTGACAGAAAACAAGTTTATAAGTAATTTCGGGACATGTAATACATTATAAAGGGTAAGTCCAAAAGGAAGGGTTATGGCTCCTTGACCAGCTATGATGGGAAATGAACCATCAACTAATCTGACTTTGTCCCTACCAAATAAAAGTTGATAGGACTAAAAACAATTTGACTTACCCATCATATGGTTTGAGGCGCCAGAGTCAATTACCCAAGGGGAGTCAGGTGAATGGGAAGACACATGGAAGGCTGTGGCAGGATTACCATTACCTGAAGTAGATGCAAAAAAAGTTGAGGCAAGAGGAGCAGAATCCATCTGACGGATTGCTCTCCCATACAGATCCAAGTGGTCACAGGAAGAATTAATGATATCTTCCCAGGGATTGGCAACGGATGGGAGGTCCTGGTGAATAGCAGTAGAAGACAGAGGCTCCTGAGAGGCCAAGTTTGCTGTATTAAACTTTTATGACTCTGCTATCCCGACTTCTTATTCTGATCTGATTTCTTACTCAGCTCTTGGGCCCACTTTGGCTTTCCATGGAGGTCCCAACAAGTATCTTGGGTATGCCTGGCCTTCTGGCAATAAGTACACCACAACTTATCCTTATCATCCACTCTCTTTTGGGAATCACCCTTCTTAAAGGAATTATTGCTTCCTGCACCTATACTCCCTTTAGCCACTAAGGCAATCTACTCACCCTCAGATCTATTCATCACACTACGCCTACTCTCTTCGGACTGTACTAGAGCATACACATCTTGCACTAAAGGAAGATCTTTACTTCCTAGTATCTGAACTCTAAGGGACTCATACATGGGGTTCAGCCCCAAGAGGAAGGCAAAGACCCGTTGTTGGGAAACCAAAGCCTTGTAAGCTTTAGCATCAACATCACACTTCCAATTAATGTTCTGATAGTGATCTGGTTCCTTCCAAATTGAGGTCAAATCTGAATAGTAGGCTGAGAGGGTCCTCTCCCCCTACTTATAAGTAGATGAGGCAGCTTGCAATTGGTATATTTTGGCATAGTGGCGTTGCTCTGAATAGGTAGATTTTGCCTGCTCCCAAATCTCAATAGCTGTTTCAGCCCACATGAAAGTTTTATTGACCGGAGGCAACATAGACAGTAACAGCCATGACATCACCATGTTGTTTTCCTGATCCCACCTATCATGTTCCACCCCCTGAGACTTTGGTTCTTTAGTTTTACCATTAATATAGCCTACCTTCCCCCTGACTGTTATGTATAGTTTGATTCCTATTGACCATTCTAGGTAGCTAAGACCATCAAATGGTATCACAGCCATGGGAAAACTCATGTCAAATCCCCCACTTACTCCACCTTGACTGGAGGACCCACTAGACAGAATAGAATCTTCAGAAGACATATTATAAGATTTAGCTTTCCAGATCAGGTCTGTTCAAAGAAGGTTACAGTTCAGC